CTCAAATGTTAAAGGCTATATATTATATGATCTCATTTAGATGAAACGTCCAAAATAAGTAAATCCAGAGACAGAAAGTAGATTAGTGCTTGCTGAGGGTTGGGGGTTTTAAGAGGGAATAAGGGGTGACTGCTAATGGGTACAAAGTTTCTTTCCAGTGTGATGAAAATATTGTGGAATTAGATGGTGGTGATGGCTGTATAACTGTGAATATACTAAAAACCACTTAATCATACAATTTAAAAGGATAAATTTTGTGATAGGTAAATTCAATCTCAGTTTTTTTTCTATCTCAATTTTTTAGACACCTACTAGAAATGTAATTTGGAACTGTGCTGAATCTATAGTTTGGGGGGGGGAATTTAACAATATAGAGTCTTTGGATGTACCTACAGGATCTCTTATTATTTAGGTTTTAATTTATCCATATTTTGTATTTTTTTGATATTACTACAAAATGTTTTTTTATAATTTCTATTCATGTTAGCTCACTGTTAGCATATAAAAATACAGTTAGGTTTTTAAATAATGATCATATCCCATAAACCAATCTCATTTATTAGTCCGTAGGAACTTTTTAAAAAATATTTTATTTATTTATTTGAAAGAGAATGTGAGAGCGAGCAAGAGCACAAACGGGGTTGGAGCAGAAAGAGTGGCAGAATAAGCCCCGTTCAATAGGGAGCCTGACATAGGCTCATGATCTGATCATGACCTGAGCCAAAGCAGATACTTAGCCAACTAAGCCACGCAGGTGCCCCTACCAGCTTGTTTTTCTCTTCTGTATATTCAATCTAATTTTCTATGTGATCATAGCTATCTATGAATAAAGCAGATTTATTACTTCTTCCTATACAATATGTATGCTTTTTATCTCTTCTTTCGCCTTACTGCATTGGGCAGGACACCTCCAGTAATGCGAGCTGAAGAGCTGAGTGGACACCTTTGTCTTTTCCATGTCACCTGTAGGTGTTTCACAGATGCCCATTATGAGGACGAGGATGTTTCTTTCTATTTTACTCTTTTATCTTACATGATATGTTATCTTTTAAATACGTTATTTCTAGGGGCGCCTGGGTGGCTCAGTGGGTTAAAGCCTCTGCCTTCTGCTCAGGTCGTGATGCCTGGGTCCTGGGATCAAGCCCCGCATCGGGCTCTCTGCTCAGCGGGGAGCCTGCTTCCCCCTCTCTATCTGCCTGCCTCTCTGCCTTCTTGTGATCTCTCTCTCTGTCAAATAAATAAATAAAATCTTAAAAAAAAAAGAAAGAAAGAAAAATAAATACATATTTCTATATAACATATATATCCTTTTCATTGTTGGACTTGATTTACTAAACTTCTGCTCAGACAAGATACTGGCCTAGTGTTTTCTTGAAATGTCTCTAAGATTTTGGTATCAAGGTAATGATGGTTTCAAAGCATGAGTGGGGAAATACTATCTCCCAATTTTATCGAAGAGTTTTGTAAAATAGGTATTATTTCTCCCTTAACTATTTGGTGGAATTCACCAGTGGCACTATTTGGATCTGATGTTTTCTTTGGGAAAAATCTGAAATAATTTCTGCACTTGATACAGGGCTATTCAGGTAATCTTTTCTTCTGGAATGAACTTTGGTAGTTTTCATCTTTTTCATCTAGTTTGTTGAGTTTAATGGCATAAGGTTCACAATATTCCTTTATTGTCCTTTTAATATTTGTGGATTCCATACTGATACTACATCTCTTATGTTCCTGATATTGGTAATTGTGTCTTTCCTTTTTCTTGTAATCAAACTAGATATGTATCAATTTTATTATTTTCACAAAGAATCAGCTTATTTTTTCTTTTTTATAATTGACATATCATATTACATTTGTTTTGAGAAGACAAGCTTTGGGGTTCATTGATTTTTGCTATTTTTCTCTTCTCTAATTTCTGTTCTGAACTTATTTTTCTTCTTTCCTTTCTTCTGTTTACTTTAGGTTTTATTTGTTCCTTCTTATTTCTTAAAAACCAACACCACTGATTTTGAGACTCTCACTTTATTTATATACTCAGATATTATACAATTATATATTAATAGAGCCAATTCAGCTTTCTTTTGATTAGTTTTGGCACATGTATTACTTTTGTTTGTTGCATAAAAAACTAATGTAGGGGCTGAAAACAATACTTTTTTTTTTTTTTTTAAGATGTATTTATTTATTCTGAGAGAGACAGAGAGTACTGGGAGGGCAAAGGGAGAGGGAAAGAATGTCTTAAGCAGACTCTGCTGAGTGCAGGAGCCTAACACAGGGCTTGATCTCACAACCCTGAGATCACAACCTGAGGTGAAACCTGGAGTCAGATGCTTAGCCAACTATTAAGTTGAAAACAATACTTATTTACAATCTCACAATTTTGTGGGTTATAAGTTCCAGTGGGCTCAACTGGATCCTCTATTTAGGGCTCATAAGGCAGAAATTGAGATGTTAGACGGGGTGATCTCCTATCTAAAAACTCTGGGGGAAGAATCTGCTTCTAAGTCTATTCAGATTGTTGGCAGAATTCAGTTTTTCATGGTGCCGGGTCTGAGGTGGTTTGTTTCCTTGCAGACTTGGGCAATGTCTCTCTCTTTTCCTAGAGGATGCCGGCCGGAATAGTCACATGGCCTCTTCCATTTTCATAAGAAAAATGATGCACTAAGCACTTCTCATGCTTTAAATCTCTGATTTCTCCCACCAGCTAGAAAACAGTCTGCTTTTAAAGGGCATTTGTTGTTAGATTAAAACCACTGGGACAGGGCGCCTGGGTGGCTCAGTCTGCCTTTGGCTCAGGTCATGATCCCAGGGTCCTGGGATGAAGCCCTGCATCGGGCTTCCTGCTCAGTGGGAAGCCTGCTTCTCCTCCTCCCACTCCCCCTGCTTGTGTTCCCTCTCTTGCTATCTCTCTCTCTGTCAAATAAATAAATAAAATCTTAAAAAAAAAAAAAAAACATTGGGATACTCTCCCTCTGCCATACAACATAAATAATAATGGGAAGGATATCTTATCCTATTCGCAGGCTCTTCCCATATTCAAAGGGAGAGATGATTATGTAAGAAAGAAGTCAGTAGGAGTCAGAATAGAATTCTGCATAACATAACATAGCACACCTTTTTCAATTTCTTTTAATCCATTTGGATCTTTATATTAAAAGGGGCACTTTCTTATATACAGTGCATAGTTATGTCTTTTTTTTTTTTTTTAAGATTTTATTCATTTATTTGCCAGAAAGAAAGAGAGAGAGAGCATGAACAAGCAGGAAGAAGAGCAGGCAGAGGGGGAAGCAGGCTCCCCCCACTGAGTAGGGAGCACAATGAAGAACTTGAATCCAACACCCTGGGATCATGACCTGAGTTGAAGGCAGACACTTAACCAACTGAGCCACTCAGGTGTCTTAGAGTTATGCCTAATTTTTTTTAATCCAATCTCTATCTGTAATTGGGGATATTTACATTTAATGTGATTGTTCATAAAGAATAATTTTAGGGGCGCCTGGGTGGCTCAGTGGGTTAAAGCCTCTGCCTTCAGTTCAGGTCATGATCATGGGGTCCTGGCATCGAGCCCCACATCAGGCTCTCTGCTCAGCGGGGAGTCTGCTTCCTCCTCCCTCTCTGCCTGCCTCTCTGCCTACTTGTGATCTCTGTCAAATAAATAAATAAATAAATAAATAAATAAATCTTTAAAAATTTAAAAAAAAAAAGAATAATTTTAATCTACCTTCTTGCTGTTTTGTATTTGTTTCATTTGTTCATTTTTCCTACTTAAATTTTTTTTTTTTAAACACTGACATTTATCTTCATTATGCATCTCTTTCTGCTTCTTTGCATGCCAGGTAATATCTGATTGGATCCAAGACATTATAAATTTTAACTTGTTGATTGGATGCTGGATATTTTTGGATCCCTCTAAGTATTTCTGCATTTTGTTCTAAGATATAAGGTTTGACACTTTCAGATTATATGGACAAAAGGATTAATTTGCTCAATTACAGTGGCAAAACAGTTCTCAGTTGTATACTCCATGAATTATAAGATTTTCCACTCTAACTGCTATGAACACATTATTCTTGGTTCTAAATGAGCCCCAATGACTTGTTCCCTCAAATTCTTTTGGATGGTTCTTTCCCTGGCCTTGGGCAGCCCCCTCACATACATGACCTTGATCAACACTCAGCTGAAGACCTGAGAGAGACCCTCTGTATGTCTCTAGGTGTCACTGTGTCTCCTCTGTCTCTTTTTGCTGATCATTCCTATCTAGTACTCTGCCCTGAAAACGCTGGTGTTATGGCTCTCCCTGGACTCCAAACTCTTTCCTCAACTATGGGAGCTTTCCTCAAACTAATGGGTTTCCTCTTCTGTGCCTTGTCTTTAACATTCTAGCAACACAGTAAGCTATCACTCAAGGATCACTATTCTTTGTTGCCTGGTATCCAGTGTTTTGAGAACTGTTATTTTATATATTCTGACAAGGTCTTAGTTTGCTCATGTGGAAGAGTAAAACTAGCCCCTCTCACTCCATCTTGGCCAGAAATGGAAATTCTGGTACTTATGTTTTATTCTCTTCAAGTGTAATGAGAGGTATAGAAGACTGATGTAAAGGTATAGTAGTGAGGGGTATAGAAGACTGATGTAAAAATCCAAGAACGTAAACATGTATCAATGCTCCCCAACTTAAAATAAAAGTCATGTGTCCATTAGGAAAAACAAAAACAATATAGCATTTCCCCCAAATAATAATATAGTGCTTTTTAACTTACATTCTTCACTTAAAGGGTTAAAAAATAATAAATGTTTCTTACATAATAAATGAAAAAAATTGTCATGATACAGAGTAATAACTAATTATGATAGAATAATCTGAGTTCATTAGGTCAAATCTGTAATACGAAGAAATTTTTCCAATTTATTTACATAAACGTTTTCCATATTACATATATTGACTATAACATATTCAAATGAACACATTTTAAACCTGACTGAAGAAAGAAAATAATGACCTTTGAGAAGTCCAGAATTATCAATGGGTCCAGGATAAACATTTTGATCTCCCATCTGGTATTTGTCCCAACTGTCAAAGCCAACATATTTTTTCCACTGTTTGAACCAGCGACTATCGACTAGGTACCTAAAAAGAGAAAAGAAATCAATAAAGGAAAATACCTGTAACTAGAGGAATAGCATAGAAGCTATCTATTTTTTATATTTCATTTTATATTAAAGTACATGCCTACTTCAAAGGATTATTGAGAATAACTGCAATGTGATTTACAATCTGGAAAAAAAATTTCACTTATACAAAAGTGTTATTCCTATTGTTCTATAAATATCTACTATTTGAGGACAAGTATTGACATACACATTGAAAAAAATCCTTAACAGCACCTCTTAGAAAATGCAATAGCTATTCCATAAACTGACAGTTGAACAAAAATTCAAATGGGAATCATAAAAATGAAACAAAACAAAATTTTAAAGTACAACATATAAAGAAATAGAAAAATGGTTCTTCTGCAAAAAAAATTAAAAAGAGGGGCGCCTGGGTGGCTCAGTGGTTTAAGCCTCTGCCTTCAGCTCAGGTCATGGTCTCAGGGTCCGGGGATCGAGCCCCCCATCGGGCTCTCTGCTCAGTGGGGAGCCTGCTTCCTCCTCTCTCTCTGCCTGATTCTCTGCCTACTTGTGATCTCTTTCTGTCAAATAAATAAATAAAAAATCTTAAAAAAAAAAAAAACTTAGAAAGACAGTATGTTTATTTTATATATTTTACTCTATCCTTTTGGGGATAAGGAAAGTGGATTATTAAAGGCTTGCGAGACTGATTATAATAATTTTAATAACAAATTTTTAAAAACTTTAGTTAGCTTCTTTACCAACAAGAGTTAATAACAATACTACTTCCATTTATTTCCCATAAAATCTGCTGGGGCAAGCAGGATAGGTTTTTTTTTTGTTTGTTTTCAAAAGTGTGGTACACCAAGCACTGTAGGCATTACTGAAATTATATTCATCTTATTTTCAAGTACCTACAAACTGGCTTCTCATCAGATGACCAGTGACAGAAGAAGTAAAATACTGGTGCTCTAGGAAAGGAAACTCACAAACCTAAAAAACTTTACACATTTTTATATATTATTATATATTATACCCATTATGAAATACTGCTTTGCCATGCACTCATAATTATTTTAAATTCTTTTCCAGAAACATTTTCCCCACACTTAATCAGATTCAATCACAAACAAAATCAAAAGTAAAAGTTAACAAGATGTTTAAAGCCCACATGTGCATTAACAGAGGTAACCAAGTTATTTTTTGGAGATCATTCTAATGTATCTGTGCTTACTACACACAGCACTAAGTATAGTAATGAAATCCTACAGTTTTACAGTTTACACAGTTGTTTATATCTGAAAATGTCTGAGGCAAAGGCACCAATCCAACAAAATCCCACAATTCCTAGAGAATATTCATCAGCAGTTTAATTCCCTTAAAGTGGGTACTGCAGAATTATCTACACACTAGTATTCCAAACCTACTGTCAGGATTATGTAACTCAAGGCCCTAAATGGTAGAATTGGAGACTAAAGAAGAAAAAAAGCTCAGAGACTGTCTTAAGAAAACCTTATTTTTAAAATAAAGAGATTAAACCAGCAGTAGCTTTACATATTAAACAAAATAATACTTAATTATTTATCACCCACTAAACATTTTTTAGACTCCCTCCTGTGATTTAAACAAAATATTCAGATATTTCATTTGCTTTATTTGCAAATTAATGTCATACTATGTGGCCTTTCCTGTGTTCCATCTATTTTGTTTTTATCATTGTGCCAATTTCATCATCTCTTTATTACTTTAATCTTGATTTTTTTGGAGGGGGGGCAAGTTTCCCCAGCTTGGTGTTCTTGCAAATTGCCTTAACTATTCTTGACCATCTTCCACATGAATTTTAGAGTCAGTTTATCAAGTTCCACAAAAAGTACAATTAAGATTTTGATTGGATATGTGCTGAATTTATCAATCAACAGTAATAGTATACACAACAATGTGACTTATAGAACTGACATTAAAACTATTTGGGAAATACTATCAAAATTCTATTTATTTAAAATATATTTCTAAAAGATGGGGTTTTATCTCTCAGAGTATTTAATAAATCCTTTATTGTATGGTAGACGTTTGCACTGGATAGTATTCATCTGATGCTATAATATTTCTAGTTCACATCTCTTTCCTAGATCTTGAAGTGACTAGTAGTTTCTGTATAATGATACTATTAAGAGAGGAGATTCTCACACTTGATGGATATTTATCTTTCAACATTACTTTCAACTGAAAAGGCCATCACATCTATTACAGGCCACCGTATCTTATTTGCAAAATTTTGTGGTAATGAAATATGAGGGAAAATATAGGAAAAAACAGAAACATCTATCACAGAAATAATTGTACACTTCTTAGATGTACTTAAGAAAGACAACATTAAATGAAGTGAGCTAAATAAAATTTATTTTAGGACATTTACATAGATTTATTATTAAAACTCTACCTCTAATCTGTGAATCTGCCAAAACATAAGAATCCTCAATTTGAATTGATAAAAGCCTACAACAGAATCAATAGTTAATGATTACAAGTAAGTGAACATAGATCTAACTTACAGATTCTCAATAGTACTCTTATTAGGATCCAGATAGGACCAATTTTAGCTTCCAAGGTTTTTTGTTTTGTTTTGTTTTTACATAGTTATAACTATTTGTAAAGACTGATATTTCATGACTTTAATCTTAGACCTCTGAGAAAGAATAAAAGGCACGTAACAATCTTTATAAAGTTAAAACAATGATCCTAAGATGAAGTCTAAAATACTTAACATTGCCTACTTGGTTTTCCATGATCTATCTACTCCTGCCTGTCTAGTCTCAACTGGTACCATTTTTCTTTGCTGAGATGTAACTATAATAACCTTTTAGTTACTAGACACTCCATTTTTTGCCATATGGTTCCATCTGCCTAGACGCTACTCCTATTGCTCCCAACATCTATTTAATTCCTATCATCTTTCAGATAGCCTACACCTCACTTTCCCAGGGAATCCTCCCACAGTATTTCCCACTTCCTTTCAAATAGTTTGGAAAAGGAGAAACAAGATGACAATTATTAGCCTACTAGATACCAAGACTGTTTACTAAGTTAAAGAAATTACTTTTAATTACAAAATTACTAACATTTGAGCTTTATACTTGGGCCAGGTGCATATTTCTAAGCACTTTAATATATTGGTTCATTTATTCCTTTAACTACCCAATAATGCAGGTACTATTATAATTTCAAAGGCACAAAGGAACACCTTGACCAATGTTACAAAGTGTCAGACCTGTGATTAAAAAATATAATACTGGCATAGAGAAACAAAAAGGCCAATGAAAACAGCACAGAGAAACAGGATTTGGATTCATATATATGGGGAACCATGATATATACGAAAAGCATCACCATATTAGTGGGGAATGATGTAGCTAAGTATATGGGAAAAATCAGAGCTTTACCTCACATATGCAGTCAGTTCTACTCTAATGCTTGTTTTAAAAACTTGAATATGTTAAACATGATTGATACATTAGGGAACAAGAGCACAAATTTCAATATATGCTCAAGCACTACTTTAATCCACAAGCAGGACCAGGACTAAGGGTAAGGCAAGTGAGATGCCTAGGAACCTTAATAAGAAGTGCCTCCTGAAATTCTGCCCCGTAAGTGTCTAGCTTGCTTTATTGTAGTCCTAACTGAAACAAAAATAAGGTGAATGAAGAAGACTACTCAGCCGTAAAGACCCACATAGGAATGCACAAAACATACACATTCAAACATTTTTTTTTTTAAGATGGGGGATGCAGAGGGAAAGGGAGAGAGAGAATCTTAAGCAGGCTCTACACCCAGCACAGAGCCGAGTGTGGGGCTCAATCTCACAACCCTGAGATCATGACCTGAGCCCAAATTAAGAGTCAGACACTTAACTGACTCAGCCACTCAAGCACCCCCCCCACACACACACACTTTAATCATCTTCAAGTGTGTTACATCTGCAGTTACAACTTCTTGGAAGATTTAAGAAAACTTTTCTTCCACCACTTGCAATAACTCAAGCTGCAACCCTTTAAATCCTACTTCTACATGTTAACTCCATCCTTTTCAAAATAAAAATGTCATATTTATTGTGGTAGTTACATACTTCTTAAAAACTGTGCTACCATTTTTATTATGTTTTTAATGTGTCACTGGCAAAATTTTTTTGTCCCAACCCCAATTTTCCCATATGCCCTGTGTATTTTTTATTGCATGATTTTGCATATAACATGGTGATTTTTAGGAACACGTGCTATGTTAGGTACAGCAGAACTAACTGTACAAAAACAAGTTATAGTTGGATTAAAAATGTAAATGTGAAAGTAGAAGTACAATTTTGTAAAAAAAGATATGAGAAAATCCTCATTACCTTAGAATATAGAAGAGTTAAGACAAAAAGCAAAAACTTTAAAGATTGATAAACTTGTCAAGGTTAAAATGAAAGGCTACCTATCTATGAAAAACCCATCGCAAATATCATTCTCAATGGAGAAAAACTGAAAGCTTTTCCTCTAAGGTCAGGAACACGGCAGGGATGTCCGTTATCACCACTGCTATTCAACATAGTACTAGAAGTCCTAGCCTCAGCAATCAGACAATAAAAAGAAATTAAAGGCATCCAAATCGGCAAAGAAGTCAAACTATCACTCTTCGCAGATGATATGATACTATATGTGGAAAACCCAAAAGATTCCACTCCAAAACTGCTAGAACTTGTACAGGAATTCAGTAAAGTGTCAGGATATAAAATCAATGCACAGAAATCAGTCACATTTCTCTACACCAACGACAAGACAGAAGAAAGAGAAATTAAGGAGTCAATCCCATTTACAATTACACCCAAAACTATAAGATACCTAGGAATAAACCTAACCAAAGAGACTAAGAATCTATACACAGAAAACTATAAAGTACTCATGAAAGAAATTGAGGAAGACACAAAGAAATGGAAAAATGTTCCATGCTCCTGGATTGGAAGAATAAATATTGTGAAAATGTCTA